GATTTTACTCAGAAAATCTAGTTTGTAAAATTACTCTCATCCCATGATTACAGGCTTAGATCCTGATGTAAACTTTTTACAAAATGAATTACATGAATCAAACAGCAACTGCAATTACTATACAGCATAACAAGCAAAGACATTACTCAGTGCAAACAATAACATAACCATCTTTAACTACAATGTCAGATCCTTGAGCAAACATGATGATGACTTCACAGTATTACTCATTTCCCTTCATTCCAATATATCAATCATCACACTCACAGAAACCTGGCTTAAGCCTGATATTACAGATGTCTATACCATTCCTGGCTACATGGCCATCCACAACTGTAGAACAGACCAGCAAGGGGGAGGAACAGCTATATACTACTCAAATCAACTCGAATGTATCAATAAATCTTGCACAAGGGACGAACATGGAGAATATATCATTTTTTTTTTCAACAAGTCGGCCGTCTCCCACCGAGGCAGGGTGACCCAAAAAGAAAGAAAATCCCCAAAAAGAAAATACTTTCATCATCATTCAACACTTTCACCTCACTCACACATAATCACTGTTTTTGCAGAGGTGCTCAGAACACAACAGTTTAGAAGCATATACGTATAAAGATACACAACATATCCCTCCAAACTGCTAATATCCCAAAACCCCTCCTTTAGAGTGCAGGCATTGTATTTCCCATTTCCAGGGCTCAAGTCCAGCTATATAAAAATAACTAGTTTCCCTGAATCCCTTCACTAAATATTACCCTGCTCACACTCCAACAGATCGTCAGGTCCCAAATACCATTCGTCTCCATTCACTCCTATCGAACACGCTCATGCACACCTGCTGGAAGTCCAAGCCCCTCGCCCACAAAACCTCCTTTACCCCTTCCTTCCAACCTTTTCGAGGACGACCCCTACCCTGCCTTCCTTCTCCTACAGATTTAAATGCTCTCCATGTCATTCTACTTTGATCCATTCTCTCTAAATTACCAAACCACCTCAACAACCCCTCTTCAGCCCTCTGACTAATACTTTTATTAACTTCACACCTTCTCCTAATTTCCACACACTGAATTTTCGTCTGCTGCCCGTCCCTATCCACTGACGCCTATATAACCGCCAGTCTTCTTGCCTTTGCTCCAGATTCTCTTCCACCACGATGCTGTGAACACTAACTCCAAGGCCGAGGGACTGATTACCTCATCTTTTGTATATAGTTCTACTGTCTTCCTATTATGTCCTAGAATCTGTATTGATAAAGCCACTGGATGGCGAAACGTCTACAATAAAGATATTCAGATGTTGCACATGTGTCTTAACTTTCATATTGTCGGTATTTTATACCTTTCTTGCACAACTTGTCAGACACTGCAACATCATGGAATCTTGGTTCAGAGGACATCTACAAGACCTTCTTTACGGCTGCTGCAACTAACCCATCTCTTTGGGAAGGACCTACTTACACTGGGGAATCCCGCCTACCAGTGACTTTGCCCTCATCTGCTGTCCGTCCCTATCCACTGACGCCTATATAACCGCCAGTCTTCTTGCCTTTGCTCCAGATTCTCTTCCACCACGATGCTGTGAACACTAACTCCAAGGCCGAGGGACTGATTACCTCATCTTTTGTATATAGTTCTACTGTCTTCCTATTATGTCCTAGAATCTGTATTGATAAAGCCACTGGATGGCAAAACGTCTACAATAAAGATATCCAGATGTTGCACATGTGTCTAAACTTTCATACTGTCGGTATTTTATACCTTTCTTGCACAACTTGTCAGACACTGCAACATCATGGAATCTTGGTTCACAGGACATCTACAAGACCTTCTTCACGGCTGCTGCAACTACCCCATCTCTTTGGGAAGGACCTACTTACACTGGGGAATCCCGCCTACCAGTGACTTTGCCCTCGTCTGCTGCCCGTCCCTATCCACTGACGCCTATATAACCGCCAGTCTTCTTGCCTTTGCTCCAGATTCTCTTCCACCACGATGCTGTGAACACTAACTCCAAGGCCGAGGGACTGATTACCTCATCTTTTGTATATAGTTCTACTGTCTTCCTATTATGTCCTAGAATCTGTATTGATAAAGCCACTGGATGGCGAAACGTCTACAATAAAGATATCCAGATGTTGCACATGTGTCTTAACTTTCATATTGTCGGTATTTTATACCTTTCTTGCACAACTTCTGCAGTGTTCCTACTTTCTTATGTTCTTATGTTCTTAAGTGAATGTGATATGACCTAACTAGGTTAGAGCATTGGCTTAAGCCGCTGGGAGACTTGGACCTGCCCCACATGGGCCAGCAGGCCCGTTGCAGTGCTCCCTCCTATTCTTATTCTTATTATTGCGGGCTATTATTATTGTTCTTATTATTGCGGGCTATTATTATTGTTCTTATTATTGCGGGCTATTATTATTGTTCTTATTATTGCGGGCCATTATTATTGTTCTTATTATTGCGGGCTATTATTATTGTTCTTATTATTGCGGGCTATTATTATTGTTCTTATTATTGCGGGCTATTATTATTGTTCTTATTATTGCGGGCTATTATTATTGTTCTTATTATTGCGGGCTCTCTCTTGGAGAGATATCCTCAAGACCAGGTTCATCCTGGATATTACTGCCCGTTAGGTCATCTTATTTATATCCCCTATATTAATACCCATCTTTCACTTAAACACTTCGATCATGTCTCCCCTCATTCTTCGTCTAGCAACATAAGAACATAAGAATGTAGGAACACTGCAGAAGGCCTACTGGCCCATACGAGGCAGGTCCTTACCAAAACGACATCTACCTAAAGCTACCCAAGAAATAACTCCCGTACCCCATGACACCAATCAAACCCAGCCCCTCCCACTCATATATTTGTCCAGTCTCTTCTTAAAGCTACCCAAGGTTCTAGCCTCTATCACCCCACTAGGAAGACTGTTCCACGCATCTACAACTCTGTTAGAAAACCAGTACTTACCTATGTCCTTTCTAAATCTAAATTTATCCAACTTAAATCCATTATTCCTGGTTCTTACCTGGTTCGACACCCTCAGTACTTTATTAATGTCTCCCTTGTTTATGCCCGTCATCCACTTATACACTTCAATGAAGTGTATAAGTGAATGTAAATTAAGTGTTTTCAGTCTTTCTTCATACGGAAGACTTCTAATGCTATGTATAACTTTGTCATTCGTCTCTGAATGTTTTCTAACGAATTTAAATCTATTCTGTAGTAAGGAGACCAGAAGCAAGCTGCATAATCTAAGCGAGGCCTTACTAATGGTGTGTACTGCTGTAGTATAACCTCTGGACTCCTGTTTGTTGATAACATAAGGCAGGAGGAACACTGCAATAGACCTGTTGGCCCATGCAAGGCATGTCCCACCCATGCAGCTGTCCAACCCTCTCTCAAAGCTGCCCAAGAATTTGCTTCAGTACCTCAGGTACTAATCAAACCCAGCATTTTGTACTCATATATTTGCCCAATCTGTTTTTAAAGCTACCCAAGGTCTTAGCCTCTATTACCCTACTCGGCAGATTGTTCCACACATCGAACATAAGAACATAACAAAGGAGGAACACTTATCTACTGTACAACTATGAAAAAATTACTATCCTACTGTACAACTATGATATACTCCTTAGTAGAATGTACAAGATTGATGGACTGAACACATCGACTCCAGGCTGAGGGACTGATTACCTCAAACTCCTCCTCTCCTTACGCCTTCCTCTTTGTATTGGACTGATGAAGCCACTGTGTGGCGAAACGTTTCCTGAATAAAGATTCTCATATGCTGCATAAGTGTCTCAATCTTCATAATAGAGGCACTCTTTGCATTGCAATCCACTATTGTAAATACAAAATCTCAATGTACTGTTTGCAAAGACATAAAATAAAATAAATAAATAAACAAATAAGATAGAGCTGAAACTAACTGGTGTTATCATGCGGTACCCCGGTGTCCCCAGTTTTTTCATAATGCTCACACTGAGGGCACAGACCAATTCTCTCATGTCTAGGTGGCTCAGGCCTATTGTGTCAAATTTGAAAAAATGAAAAATAAAAAGTAGATCTATGTTCGGAGCACTACGCGAGCAAATATGCATCTACGTTTGGACAGTTTAAGGGTTAAATGCTGCAGTGAGGTGACTAGAGGCAGTGTAGATGTCAGGTTTGAAAGTAATGTGTGGTGCAAATATTAAGTAGAGAATGTGGAGCACAGAAATTAAAATGTGATGTAGGGTCACCAAGAGTAAAAGCCAAGAGGGCTGAGGAGGGGTTGATAAGGCAGTTTGGGCATTTAGAGGATGGAGAGGGACAGGATGATGAAGAGGGTGTAACAATCTGGGGTGTTTGGTAGGAGAGGTAGGCATCATCCCAGGAATGGTTGGAAGGAGGGGTAAAAAAAGACTGAGCTTTAAGGGCTTCAGCATTCAGCAGACTTGCACAAATGTATTAGATAGGAGTGCATGGACACTGTTGGAGTGCGAGAAAGGTAATTTTTATGAAGTCATTCATGGAAACTGGTTAGCCAGACTAGTCCTGGAGATAGGACGGGCAGTGCCTGCACTCTAAAGGAAATGTGGGCAGGTTGCAATTAGAGGATAATTTAAATTATGATGTCAGCACACTTCTGGTATGACAACATTTGAATGAATGATGGTGAATGTTGAACTCAAACAACTCACAGGTAAGACATACAAAGGCATGAAGGGGAAGTGGGGACAAGCAAAGAAAAACTCTGTAGAGGAATGTCTTCAGTTGTAATGATAGAACTGGGGCTAAACGCAGCAGCAGAGCATTGTATGAGAGAGAGTCAGTAGGGTAAAAAAAAAAAAAAAAAAATTATTTATGACATGTATCACAAGAAAATATCCATTTATGATATGTATCACATGAACATACACACAAACATACCCATTTATGATATGCATCACAAGAATATATTTATTTATGACATGTATTACAACAATGACTTATGGATTCACTAACCTGCCCCATGTTAGTCTTAGGAGAAAGCGCCAGTAAGAAGGTTTCATGTAATGCATCTCCATCACAGCCACGTGGAAGAGATAACCCGTGGAGATGGAGTATAGCAGCTCTACTGAGCCAGGGATACGTGGTAGGTACCCCTCATCACAGCCTTTTTCATACACACACTGCAAGGTTATTGATGACATGGACATTTATAAAAAAATATAAATATACATAATATTCACTATCTACTGTACTATGTACATATCCATTTCTTAAAAGAAATGGTATGCTGAAGAAGAACATTTTATTTCGTCACTTATGTGTAACCACAATGTTCATATAAAGAGGTGTCAGAAAGACAAAAATGCATGAGGGATAAGATACATACAAAAGACTTTTGCATTGTCATACCAAGAATTTCACAGTAAAGGCTGCAATATTAAATGCTAACCTCAAGTACTTTCCACATCATATAAAGTGCAAGAGAAGGGGCAGAGTAAAAATACATTGCAAAAGCAGAGAGTACACCAGCCACTGCTCCGTGTGATGCTTCTTCTTTCCCATGCCACCACCGCCCTGCACAACATGTTCCCTGTCGAGAGAAACATTAGCCTTAAGGAAGGATCAGTAACTATGTTATTGTATATGCTCTTACTAAGATGTAAGAACATAATGACTATTATACCATGTTGTCAATTTTTTTTTTATATTCTCAATATTAATCTGACAAAACTAAAAAAACAAAACCATCACATGATACAACTGCATGTGCTTATCTCAGTATAATTCTAATGATCTTTCCATTTAAGTACTGTACTACATTTAACACAGTATGAAGAGTAAAATTTAAAAAAAAAAAAAACAGGTTCAGTGATGATTATAACAAAAAAGACTATTGCAAAACAATTAAGAACAACCATATGCCCAAAGAATTTTTTTTTCAACAGTAGGCCATCTCCCACCAAGGCAGGGTGACCCAAAAAATAAACACTTTCACCATCATTCACACATAATCACTGTCTTTGCAGAGGCCCTCAGATACAACAGTTCAAATGTCACTCCAAACAGCCAATATCCCAAACGCCTCCTTTAAAGTGCAGGCAATGTATTTCCCACCTGCAGGACTCAAGTCTGCCTAATCAATTTCCTTGAATCCCTTCACAAAATATTACCTTGCTCACACTCCAACAGCTCGTCAAGTCCCAAAAACCACTTGTCTCCATTCACTCCTAACACGTTCACACATACTTGCTGTATGTCCAAGCCCCTCGCACACAAAACCTCTTTTACCCTCCTCTCTCCATCCTTGTCTAGGATGATCTACCCCTCCTCCCCTCCACTACAGACTTATATATCCTTTAAGTCATCCTATTTTGCTCCATCCTCTCTAAATGATCAAACCACCTCAACAACCTCTCTTCAGCCCTCTGACTAATACTTTTATTTACTCCACACCTTCTCCTAATTTCTACACTACGAAATCATTGCATAATATTTACACCACACATTGCCCTTAGACAGGACATCTCCACTGCCTCCAACCTCCTCCTCGCTGCAGCATTTACAACCCATGCTTCACAGCCATATAAGAGTGTTGGTACCACTATACTTTCGTACATTCCCTTCTCTGCCTCCATGGATAACATTTTTTGTCTCCACAGATACTTCAACGCACCACTCGCCTTTCTTCATAAATTCTATGGTTAACCTTATCCTTTGTAAACCCATCTGCTGACAAGTCAACTCCCACATATCTTAACACATTCACTTCTTCCATACTCCCTCCCTCCCTGTTCTTAAATACTCCATGTGCCTTGTAATACAATAAAGTTGCAAGTGATACTACCAAGGTGTCCTATATTTTAATAGACAAATATTTAATTACCGCAAATGCACACAGATTGCATTAGCCTGTTTAGATACTTTCTTCTTTCTTTCAACAAACCGACCATATCCCACTGAGGCAGGGTGGCACAAAAAGAAAAACAAAAGTTTTTTTTAAATTTAGTAATTTACACAGGAGAAGGGGTTACTAGCCCCTTGCTCCCGGCATTTTAGTTGCCTTTTACAACACGCATGGCTTACGGAGGAAGAATTCTGTTCCACTTCCCCATGGAGATAACAGGAAACAAACAAGAACAAGAACTAGTAAGAAAATAGAAGAAAACCCAGAGGGGTGTGTATATATATATCTTTCTTCTTTCAACAAACCGGCTGTATCCCACCGAGGCAGGGTGGCCCAAAAAGAAAAACAAAAGTTTCTCTTTTTAAATTTAGTAATTTATACAGGAGAAGGGGTTACTAGCCCCTTGTTCCCGGCATTTTATTCGTCTCTTACAACACGCATGGCTTACGGAGGAAGAATTCTGTTCCACTTCCCCATGGGGATAAGAGGAAATAAACAAGAACAAAAACTAGAAAGAAAATAGCAGAAAACCCAGAGCAGTGTGTATATATATATGCTTGTACATGTATGTGTAGTGTGACCTAATTATAAGTAGTAGTAGCAAGACATACCTGAAATCTTGCATGTTTATGAGACAGAAAAAAGACACCAGCAATCCTACCATCATGTTTAGATACTTTTTTTTTTTTCTTAAACAAGTCGGCTGTCTCCCACCGAGGCAAGGTGACCCAAAAAAAGAAAGAAAATTCCCAAAAAGAAAATACTTTCATCATTCAACACTTTCACCTCACTCACACACAATCACTGTTTTTGCAGAGGTGCTCAGAATACAACAGTTTAGAAGTATGTACATATAAAGACACACAACATATCCCTCCAAACTGCCAATATCCCAAAACCCCTCCTTTAAAGTGCAGGCACTGTACTTCCCATTTCCAGGACTCAAGTCCGGCTATATAAAATAACCAGTTTCCCTGAATCCCTTCACTAAATATTACCCTGCTCACACTCCAACAGCTCGTCAGGTCCCAAATGCCATTTGTCTCCATTCACTCCTATCTAACACGCTCATGCACACTTCCTGGAAATCAAAGCCCCTCACTCACACAACCTCCTATACCCCCTCCCTCCAACCCTTTTGAGGACGACCCCTACCCCGCCTTCCTTCCCCTACAGATTTATATGCTCTCCATGTCATTCTACTTTGATCCATTCTTATCGTAGGGGTTCTTAATAAATGGAGATATCGAGGGTTGAAGGTAGACACACTTGTTGGATGGTAACGATATATATTGTCAGACTGTGATGATGGGAAATGGAGCCCAGCCTCTGCCTGTCTTAGCCTAAATGACCAAACCACCTCAACAGCCCCTCTTCAGCCCTCTGACTAATACTTTTATTAACTCCACACCTTCTAATTTCCACACTCCAAATTTTCCGCATAATATTTACACCACACATTGCCTTTAGACAGGACATCTCCACTGCCTCTAACCGTCTCCTCGGTGCAGCATTTACAACCGAAGCTTCACACCCATATAAGAGTGTTGGTACCACTATACTTTGATACATTCCCTTCTTTGCCTCCATAGATAACATTCTTTCTCTCTACATATACCTCAATGCACAACTCACCTTTTTTCCCTTATCAATTCTATGATTAGCCTCATCCTTCATAAATCCATCCGCTGATACGTCAACTCCCAAATATCTGAAAACATTCACTTCTTCCATACTTATCTTTCCCAATTTGATATCCAATTTTTCTTTATCTAAATCATTTGATACCCTCATCACCTTCCTCTTTTCTATATTCATTTTCAACTTTCTACCTTTACACACACTCCCAAATTCGTCTACTAACCTCTGCAATTTTTCTTTAGATTCACCCATAAGAATAGTATCATCAGCAAAAAGTAACTGTGTCACTTCACATTTTGTATTTGATTCCCCATAATTGAATCCCACCCCTCTCCCAAACACCCTAGCATTTACTTCTTTTACAACCCCTTCTATAAATATATTAAACAACCATGGTGACATTACACATCCCTGTCTAAGACCTACTTTTACTGGGAAGTAGTCTCCCTCTCTTCTACACACCCTAACCTGAGCCTCACTATCCTCATAAAAACTCTTTACAGCATTTAGTAACTTACCACCTATTCCATATACTTGCAACATCTGCCACATTGTTCCCCTATCCAAACTATCATATGCCTTTTCTAAATCCATAAATGCAATAAAAACTTCCCTACCTTTATCTAAATACTGTTCACATATATGCTTCAATGTAAACACTTGATCTACACATCCCCTACCCACTCTGAAACCTCCTTGCTCATCCGCAGTCTTACATTCTGTCTTGCCTCTAATTCTTTCAATAATAACCCTACCGTACACTTTTCCTGGTATACTCAGTAAACTAATTCTTCTATAATTTTTACAATCTCTTTTGTCCCCCTTCCCTTTATATAAAGGGACTATACATAGTCTCCACCAATCCCTAGGTACCTTCCCCTCTTTCATACATTTATTAAACAAAAATACCAACCACTCCAACACTATCATCCCCCTGCTTTTAACATTTCTGTCATGATCCCATCAGTTCCAGCTGCTTTACCCTCTTTCATTCTACGTAATGCGTCACGCACCTCCCCCACACTTACATCCTGCTCTTCTCCACTCCTAAAAGATGGTATACCTCCCTGGCCAGTGCATGAAATTACCGCCTCCCTTTCTTCGTCGACATTTAAAAGTTCCTCAAAGTATTCTCGCCATCTACCCAATACCTCCATCTCCCCATCTACTAACTCTCCTACTCTGTTTTTAACTGACAAATCCATTTGTTCCCTAGGCTTTCTTAACTTGTTTAACTCACTCCAAAATTTTTTCTCATTTTCATTAAAATTTCTCGACAGAGCCTCTCCCACTCTTTCATCTGCTCTCCTTTTGTACTCTCTCACCACTCTCTTTACCTTTCTTTTACTCTCCATATACTATACTCTTCTTATAACACTTCTGCTTTGTAAAAGCTACCTTTTTCTCTTTTACTTCATCATTCCACCAATCACTCCTTTTTCCTCTTGCACCTACCCTCCTGTAACCATCAACTTCTGCCCCACATTCTAATAGTGCATTTTCAAAACTATTCCAACCCTCTTCACCCCCCCCCTACTACTAATACTTGCACCAGCCCACCTTTCTACCAATAGTTGCTTATGTGTCACCCGAACTTCCTCCTCCCTTAGTTTATACACTTTCACCTCCCTCTTACTTGTTGCCATTTTCCTCTTGTCCCGTCTACCTTTTACTCTAACTGTTGCTACAACTAGATAATTATCCGATATATCAGTTGCCCCTCTATAAACATGTACATCCTGAAGCCTACCGATCAACCTTTTATCCACCAATACATAATCTAGCAAACTACTTTCATTACATGCTATCATACCTTGTATATTTATCCTCTTTTTCATAAAATATGTATTACTTATTACCAAACCTCTTTCTACACATAGCTCAATTAAAGGCTCCTCATTTTTATTTATCCCTGGCACCCCAAATTTACCTACTACTCCCTCCACAACATTTTTACCCACTTTAGCATTGAAATCCTCAACCACAAGTACTCTCACACTTGGTTCAAAACTCCCTACTCATTCACTCAACATTTCTCAAAATCT